ATAGGTAACTTGTTGCATCTTTGTTTGAAAACCGTACATTCTTTTCTTTAGTCTCTTGAAAGATAAAAATTTTGATTAAAAATAAACTGTTAGAATAAATAATTCTAATTTTACATTGCTGTACAATTTGTATAATTTACTGTCAACCTTCCGAAAAAGTGAATCATTCTTATCCTTATCTTAAAAATGTTTTTGATACGAAATTGGTAAATATACGTATCAAATATATATAATCAGATCAATTGTTTCCTTACGACATCATTTCTCTCTCTTGTATCACACTTAACTTTATTATCTAAATCTCAAAAATTCTTTTAATGAAGACCCAATAGATGAAAAGAATTCGGTGAGAGATTTAAATGTTGATGTATTTCGTTGTTCAAAATTCGAAGATGCAACAGGAGATAAATATGACGTGGCATTTTCTATAGAATGTTCATTTTCTCTGCCTTCAAAATTCTGTAAAAAATGTGAATAAATAAATAATGCTTATTTCCTTTCTTTACAAACTTAGTAATATCGAAACTTACATAATTAATATTTTGCAAACAGGATTCAACATATTCTGGATGGGTACTGGTTCGTAATCTCTTTAATTTTTTTAATAATACGAAACAATTATTTTCTAAATGGGTACCTGCATCTGCTTCACTATCCTTTTTGAAATACATAATCCTTGATGCATCTAAATTGACCTATTAATAACAAAAACAAAGTTATATACAAAGTTTATGTTTAAATTTGTTCAAAAATGGAAAGTAGCACAAAGAATAACTATTTCAATGAAAGAATAATAATATTAACCTCAGTTTCTTCATTCGATCTTTTCCTTTTACCAGTAGCTACTGGTATATTTTCAGATGGAAATAAATTAAGATTATTATGCCTCAATGGTTTTCTTGAACTACTATCTTTCCGCAAAGTCTGTCTACATTCTGCATACTTTAATATTATTCTAATATTAATACATAGATTCATAATATTAATGTAATAAAAAATTAAGATAACATTAAAATGGTACTCAATACCTTTTTTATAGAATTTTGTACTGCTTCTATCCACAAATTGCTATCATCCTTCTCAGAATAAAGTAAGAGTGTCTCATTTAAGCATGTAACACGAAACAATCCATCACCCAAAACACATTCAATTTTACATTTGTTCAATGGTAAAACGCAACAAACAGTTAATGAATTTTCTGGATCTCCTTTGCAATATAATAAAGTATCACTAAGAAGAACGAAATATCTTCTGTATGCAGAATTTCCTCGTCTTGACACTCTCATTAAAGCTCCTTGTTTGATCAATTTTCTACCAGGTTTTACCAGATTAATTGGATTTGCAATACATTTTTGAAGTTTTAATAACTTTCGTGCTTCTTCGTGTTCTTCAACTAAAGCATTTATATGTCTTGCTGCTTTTTCCACTTCTACTAAGCACACTATAAAGTTCATTTGATACATATTATTAAATATTTGAAGAATATAATCATACACATGCTGTTTGGTTTGCACCTTATATTTACCTCGTAGAAGATTATATTCTTTATGTTTACTGGGTGTATGTTGTAGGACTTCTTG